ATTCTGCTGTGTAGCTTTTTCAAACCTGTTTTCAATGCCTATTTCCATGCCTACTACAATATGTTCACCTAGGTTGCCACTCAACATGGTTATATTTATATGGAGATTCTTTTTAAAAAAAGCTATTTGTAACAGGGGCTCCCACAGGTAGATGGTTTCTAAGAATGTGACCATACCAAACTTTGAATCTCTTGAACACAGCTCTTATAAAATGTAAAGAATAAAAGTAAATGGTAAAACTTAATATGGTTAAGCTCTAGCTTATTTTAATTAAAGTCTCTCGAGAGGACGTTGATTGTATTGGGGTAGGAGCGTTCTTGTATAATCTTTAAGTAGTCAGACTTATACCAAAAACTCCCTGATCAGGTTACCTTGACTAATACAAGTATGCCCTTCTCTGTAAGCGTTACCTGGTATGGTGCTTGCCATCCAAAACATGCACCAGATTTTCAAGGAGTTTCAAATTAAATAGGCTCTACAACCAGTAGCTTTGCCTGAGAAAAAAAACCTCGGGATTAAAGAGGAAGTAAAGGAAAATAGATGTAAGGAGTTTTTTCTCCTATACTACTAATTGTGAAGCCTATTTAATTTGAAAACTTCAACTTTAGGTAAGAGGAGGAGGAATGTGTTACACCAGCCACAGCCTATAAGCTTAGTAATGGGGTATTAGTAGCTTAGCAGGTAAGATTTATCTTATTAGGAGGAAGGGTATTATACAAAACACCATATAAAAGACCTAGAACCTACTTGTCACCTGCATAATGCCAATATTACTTATATTATCAACTTTAATTAAATATATATTCTCTGTATCATAATAGGTTCCAATAAATTATAATAAAAACTATGATAATTATAATTATATTATAATTTTAAATCCTTAACCTTAAATACCCAAACCTACAGGTCTTTGTATTCCAATCCACATAGCCACACGTAACAGAAATGTGTAGTCTGGTGTACATTCTGAATTGCAGGCACCATACCATTATGGTATTTCTAAAAAGCTTTAGGTGTCAGCATACTCTAGGGGGAATCTCCAATATGCACATCAGTTCCTGCAAGGTGTTTACCAATACATCTGGCACAGTGAATACCTCTGCACATCGGTGTCTTGCCAGTGGCTAACTGTCAAGACACCTAAGAAGGCTAATTGAATGACTCTCTTACCATGTGCTATGACCTATACAAGCATTTGTAGACATCAGCTGTCTTCCAATTAAGTTCTGTCTATCTTTGATTGTGAATTCAGAAGGTCTATGACACTCCTGCAGAGAGCTGTGGTAGTGGCAGGACCCGTGGGCACTACCCATGATCCCTTACCCCGAGCTAGTATTAGTTATAGGACAGGGGGGGGTTGTATTAGCAAAAAAGAAACTTTGCGTCTGATGTCTGGGTGGCACGTCCTGATGCTGAGTTTTTTTTTCTTACGTCCCCTGCATCCTGTGTGTCCTGATTCTGGTTGCAATGCCCCCTTACGTGCCTGGCGTCCATCACCAATCCCTCTCATGCTCACCCCTACTACGCCCTGGCCCCTCGGTTGAATGTCTGGATCACTGGATCACGTTCCTATGTTACTAATGCAAAACTGTCGCTCTGATTACAGTGCTCACAGCCTTGCGTCTGCCTTACCACCTGATGCTCAGCCCCAGCCTCCATCTTCAGGATTCCTGCCTGGCGTCCCCGTTTGTCACTGCAATATATGGACTACGTCCTACGGCAGCTAATCCTTCTTTTAAACTCCTACCATGAGCTTCTAGTATCACCCCCTCCTGATCCTCTGCTCCTGGCTTCTTTCTCCTGATTCCCTCATAGTGTCGCGCGACAATGCTGCAATCTGTCCAGTTCCTTCTGCCTGCTCTCACCACTTTGGCGATGATGTCAGCCTTGAAATGCAACACTCGCTATACTCCTGATTATGCTCTGCCATGTTGTCTGCTGTTGATAATCCATATGAGTGCCTCCCTGTGTTGCTGCAATGTTCATATCAGCTGATAGACAACGGAGCCTGCCTGGCATAATATCGACAACCCCTCACGGGCAAACATGTCATGGTTCCTCACAGCAGGTTTGTAGATCCTCCAGCGGACACTTGATTTCTAGCAGTTGGTCTTAATCATATTCTATTATTTCCATGTACAGCTTACTATCAATAGACTTTCATCATTCTATGCACATATTGCCTAATTGTTGTAGGAGGATTCGTGTCTAGCGTTAGAAGTTCTGAGTGTGGCATAATCAATGCATCTGTATGACATTTGTCAATATATTTCATTAAATATCCTTAAATCAATGTGACTGTTGATTAGTTATCGCCCTTCTGCCTCCGGAAGTAGATAGGCTTACCCAAGTATTATGCTTATGTCCACTATGGTAAACCTTCTCATATCGGGTCCAAGCTAAATAGTAACATGATCGTGTAATTTTGACGGATACCTAGAGTTAACTGCACTCAAAATCTGAATACAAGTAAGTCGATGTATTGTCTTCTGGTACCTATAATCTCGTAGTTTGAAGAGCGCCATGAGATTTCCCAGACGATGGCCACGGAGTATACTGTGCATTTGCTCCCTGCCTGCCTGGACCCAAACCCAATCATTCCGACTAGCTTGGTTTCGAAAAAGCCTGGATCCTGTAGATCTTGCCCATGTGGATGTCCTGAATGTGGGTTTTCTGAAAGGCAGGACCTGGGATTTCGAGTTGCCTCAGTAGTTCAATGGAAAGGAGTTGAAGTATAGCAGGAACGTTAGGGTGGCAATGCTCGGGGGGCAGCTTCTGGCGGTTATATTGGAGGAATTCGCTACTCATGTTTTTGGTAGTGATACTCAGAGCATTGCAAAATTCGACCAGACATGCAACATCACTACAGCGCCCCTTCAGTACGCGAAGAGGGGACTCAGCCCCCAGTGCAGGACCGGTACCGGCTTTGTTCAAAAGGTCGACAATGTCTGCAGGAATCTGAGCTTCTTGGCATCTGAGTGAATCTAGGTTCAAAAGCCTCATTTGGATTACATGTTGTTAGCTATAGCTGCTCAGAATCTGCTTGCAGGCATCCATTTTATTTGATCGTCAGCATCTGTCCTCAATCTGATCCTTATGTACTAGCTCTCCAAATT